CATGGATCTGATCCATCATCTGTGTGTGAATGAAACACATGAAAAGTGTTTCAGCAGAACAAACAGATGAGCTGAAGCTGAAGTGGGGGTGGTGTCCACCTCCACCTGAGAAGAACTTTCCCCAAAAAAACAAAAAACAAAACACGTGCGCAGACGGACGCTCAGAACAACATAATGAACCAAACTGGATTCACACTTCTGTCCGGACGCTGCTCCACCTCAGAACCAGACCAGAGCAGCCGGACCTGTGGTCCACAGAACATTCTCACTTTTAACACACAGAACCAGCGCACAGATGAAGCACTGAAACACTCAGACCCAGTTCTTTGTGCTGGTCTTACTCGTCTCCGTCTGGAACCAGGACATGGAGGACGAAGCCTCTGGACCATCTGACCAACACTGGACCTCAGCCCCGTCTGGAGGAGCTGCTCCTGTGTGTTTCTGCTGCTGAGCTCAGAGCTTCTGCTCGTCGTCATAGCAACAGGTAAACGTCGGTGGCACTTTCAGCGCGTCGGCTCCTAAAACTCTGTTTATCTCAGTTTACACACAAACGTGAAACCGGAGTTTTCCAGAATCTCCACTCCAGCCGGAGTTTTTAGAAAGATTCGTTTTCACCGTTTGCATGTAAATGACGTGAACAAACGAAGGGAAATGTCTCCGTTTTTAAAAATCCCCGTGTCCGTGTAAACGGAGCCTAAATGACAAAGGAATAAACACCAACCACCTGATTTCAGTGTCTACAGACGGAGCAGTGAGTGTGAGAGGGTCACAGACGCTTTGTGTTTCATGATGCTCATTTTATATTTGTAGCCGACTGAGTCATTTTAATAGTGGGTTTATACAGTTAATACACTGACAGTCTGTGCTGTCTTCATATGAGGATTATATAAGGCTCCAGGCAGGTTTGGGTTTTGTTTTTTTGGGCCAATATGGCTCTTTGAACATTTTGGGTTACCGACCTCTGTTTTAATCAAACCAGAAGCTCTTAGTTGGTTTTGGTTGGTTTGAGTTGGGTTTATTTTTGGGTTGGTTTAGGTGGGTTTGTATTGTTTTTAGTTGGTTCTGATTTGAGTAAGGTGTGTGACGGGGGCCGGGGTTGTGTCCGGACTAGTGACGGGCATTTGATGAAATTTTTTTAATCGATCGGCAAAAGAATTAACGATCGATTATGGATTAATCATGAATGTTTTTATATTAAAATGATCATCATTATTATTACTATCTGCACTAATCTGCATCAATAAATTCAACTTTACGACATATAAACATAACGACTCTAGATCCACATCAGCTGTTTGACATTATAATGTGTTTAATTCAGTTTTGTTCAAATCTCACAGAAACAAAACTTAAAACCACATCACTAATTTACATAAACTAAGTGAAGATAAAACTCCAGCTCTTGTGTCGCTGATGTGGTTCAACTTGTGTTGGATTAAAAGACATGACTCAGGTGAATACAGGTCAGTGTGACCAGATTTGTGTTTGTCAAAACCAGGACAGCGTACGGGGGGAGGGGGGCGGGGCCTCGTCATCCACATTGAGCGACTCTCACCTGGAAAAACTTTTTCCCACTGGACACAGAAACATATGTGCTGCTTTATCCACTGTGCACATGGACTCACACTTGTCCCAACGCAACGGAAAGTGTGGAATTTCTTCTACAAATCCTGGTTAAATCCACATTTGTGCTTCGGTTCGTTACAGACTGACCCACTGTTTGTGTCTCGCTCCTTCTGATGCAGAGACACATGTACACACCTGTTTGGTCACGACACACACACATACATTCAGTTTGTCCAGTAAAATGAACGGAATCCATCAAATTCTTAATGATCAATTATCGATTAATCCTGCCCATCCCTAGCCTGGACGTCTGGCCCGCGGCTGGCAGTAGGTTTGTAGGTTTGTGAGGTCGGCCTCGGCTCGGGGGGGTTGGGATGGGCCTGGACCTCGCAGACTCGGTGGGAGTCAGTGCGTCTCTGCCTCACTTCTGAGAGGTCAGTGGAACCCGCTGGAGCAGGAGCCTTGGATAAACGTCAGCGGGACCAGGTTTGGTTGGTTTGCAGGTGTGAAAGGACCAAACAGAAGAACTATATTGTGTGTGTGTGTGTGTGTGTGTGTGTGTGTGTGTGTGTGTTCGTGTGCGTGTGTGTTACGGCCCCAGACTTTCAGCTCTAATTTGTTCTGTGAGCTTTAAATGATTTTGCGGGCTGACCTGGATCCTGCTGTGTGAGTCCTGGTCTGTGATTGGTGGAGCAAATTTACACCTGGCCAATCCCGCCTCACCTGCAGACTCCTCCCCCTGTTTAAGGTGAGTCCAGCACCTGTTCAGGCGCTGGTCTTTGTGGCCCGTCTGCCACTTTGTGTTCATGTGTGTCTAGTTCTGTAGTTTAGTTCTGTTTTGTGCCTTTTTTGAAAATTCGGTCACTTGATTCTGTTTGTGGGTTTTTGTGGTTTTACTTTGGGACACTTGTGTTTGAGTTTTGTGTTTGTCCGTTAGTTTAATCACTCGTTTTTGTGTAAGTCTGCGTGACCCGTTTTGTGGCACAAAACTTGTCTGTTTATTCTGTTGTTCTGTTTCTTAGTTTAGGTTATTTTCTGTATATTTTAGTCTGGTTTGTTATTTTACCTTTTGCATCCCTGTTAATTACACATTATTTCATTTATTCCATTTTCCATCTTGGTTATTTTTGTTACTTCCCTGACCCCAACGAGCTGGGTTGTGTGTGTGTTGTGTGTTCGTGTGTGTGTGTTTGTTCGTTTGTGTGTTTGTGTGTGTGTGTGTCGTTCTCACCTCACGTTGTCGTACTGTTTGGCGTTGATCATGGTGTCCTCGATGGTTTTGTTGAGCAGCGTGTTCATGTCGGAGGTGAAGGAGTTCACGGCGGCGCTCAGGGTCTCGCCGCTTTTACCCAGAAACCTCTGAGCCTCGGCGTTCAGCCCAAACTCCACCTGCACGAGACACAACAACCACCGTAAAACCAAACTCCACCTGCACGAAACACAACCACCGTAAAACCAAACTCCACCTGCACGAAACACAACAACCACCGTAAAACCAAACTCCACCTGCACGAAACACAACCACCATAAAACCAAACTCCACCTGCACGAAACACAACCACCATAAAACCAAACTCCACCTGCACGAAACACAACCACTGTAAAACCAACCACTGCACGAAACACAAACCACCACCATAAAACCAAACTCCACCTGCACGAAAACACAACAACACCGTAAAACCAAACTCCACCTGCACGAAACACAACCACTGTAAAACCAAACTCCACCTGCACGAAACACAAAACCACCTAAAACCAAACTCCACCTGCACGAAACAAAAACCACCACACGTAAAACCAAACTCCACTGCACGAACACAACAACCACCGTAAAACCAAACTCCACCTGCACGAAACACAACCACCACCGTAAAACCAAACTCCACCTGCACGAAACACAACAACCACCGTAAAACCAAACTCCACCTGCACGAAACACAACAACCACCGTAAAACCAAACCTGAGTTTGATTCGAACACAATCTGTGACCAGAAAGAACAGATGTGACTGGAAAATCTGTGTGTCATTCGTTCATTCGTTTTTTCAAAATAAAACCAAAATAGGAAAAAATTAATTATTTGTCTCCAAAACCAAAATGAAAAAAACAGATAATGATTTGTTTTTTTTAGTTTTCAATTTTGTGTTTAAATAAATAATGGAAAAAAATGGATATTGGATTAAACCAGGACTAAAACAAGACTAAAACAGGTCTAAAATGCTCTCAGTCCTGGTGTCAGTCCCAGTCCGGGTCCCAGTCTCAGTCCAGGTCTCCAGTCCCGGTCTCAGTCCCGGTCTCATCCGGTCTCAGTCCCGGTCTCAGTCCCGGTCTCAGTCCCGGTCTCAGTCCCGGTCTCAGTCCTCAATCAGGACTGAACCAGGACTGAATCAGGAGTGTCGGGACTGGCCTGGACATGTGTCTGCGTAGACCATCGGGTGATCAGGAAACCAGGACCAGACCGGGACTAAAACCAGGACTGAGACCAGGACTGAGACCAGGACTGAGACCAGGACTGAGACCTGGTTTAGTCCGTATGCGGCACAAAACTCCGGCATCGCAGTTTAAGTCACAGAAATGAGAAACGCCCGTTCTCCGTTTTTTCCATTTTTCATTTAAACACAAAAACTTAAAAAAACAAATCATTATCTGTTTTTTTTTTTTTTTTTCATTTTAGTTTTGGAGACAAATAATGAAGAAAATTGTTGTTTTTTGGTTTTGAAAAATGAATGAATGAACAACACATGGATTTTGCAACTACAACAGATTTTTCTTTCAGTTCAGCAGAAAGTGGCAGTTCCAGGCTGAGAAAATCCAAACAGGAGTCAGTCACCTGCTCGTTTCTATGGAGACGTCATTGTTCTGTCTGGAATGTTCCTCAGTGTGACTTTAAACAGCTCGACTTTACATTTATTCAAGCGGTGAGACATTAACATTTTAATTACGATTAATTACAAAGAAAATTATGCATTAAAAATATGAAAACATTTTATCGCAGTTTGACAAACAACACAGAACGTTTGTCAGTGCAGCAGGTCGCGGTTTAGGACTGAACGATTTTAAGTAAAAATTCAATTTAGATTTTTCTGGCAGATATTGTGGTTTCAATTTCATCCACGATTTTTTTCAAATCAAGTTCTGCTCCGAGTACAAACGAGAGAAACTCCAACACATGACGAGCTTCAGGAAGAAGATGAGTAAGTCAACATCAGAAACACTGACGACTTCACTCTCAAAGATTTTTATTTTGCGTTTTTACTACATCAAAAAGTCAAGACGTACACGACGTTCAGAAGAAACAACTTAAAGTATTTTACCTTTGCCGACTATTTTGAAATGAAATGCTATTTATTTTTTTCAAGACATTTTTCCAGACATTAAAAAAGCTCCAGTTTAAAAGTGTCTGTGTTTTATTTGATGACGTCGTCCACTAAAATTCATTTAGATAAAATAAATGTTACTTTTGGAGCAAATATTGTTCTGTGATTAATTGAATTAAAACAGATTGACTTTTTTATAATCAAGTCCCTCCCCTAATTTACTCAATTACAGACGGTTTTATGGCTCAAAAATCCCTAGAAAAACAGACTCTCCACAGATCTGACCTGGAACTACGTCTGGTTTGGTCGTCATGAAGAGAGAAAGATTTAATGTCGTACTGTGGAACATTCCAAACAGTAACATCTCCACGGAGACAGAGACAGGACGGTTTCAGACACTCACGTGTAGTGTCGGCGTTTTGACGCTGAGCTCAGAGAACGCGTCCCCCAGCGCCTTCTGCGTGACGGAGAGCTGAGCGATCTGATTGGCCAGCGTCTGCGTGAGTTTGGTCATGTGATCGTAGCGCTGCCGGTCGTCCCTGAGCAGCTCCAGACGAGGCTCCAGCTCCAGGTCCACGGTCCGAGAGCCGCGGCCCAGTTTCTCCGCCAGAGCCTGACGTGTGCACTGAAAAACAAAACACAAAACACCGAGGAGGAGATTTAACACCAACTGTTCTTCTGCTGAACGTCGTCAAACTCCTCAGATGTTTCTCTAGTCGGTTCTTCTCTCTGATCATCTGGAGTTTATTTGGACTGACTCATGTTTCAGGAAACTTTCATCTTTACTTAAACTTTAAACTCTAATTTCAGGTCTGTTGTCGTTGTTGTCGTTGTCTCACATGGGGCGATGTGGGCGTGGCCTTAAGGCTTTAATAAACTGAATATTTGGTTTTAAACGCCGTATCTGTGTTTCTTTCGAGTGTGTATCATTTTATTAAATCATCCCTGAGTTTCATGAGGCAAAGCGGCGTGTCAGAGCGACAAGTGCGGCTCTGGACTCACACGGACCGTTTGTATCGACTCTGATCGACACAAAAGACTCACCGTGAGTCACAGACACAAACCTCCCACTGATTTACTCTAGGACGAGTTACAGACTTCAGACGGAGCGCAAACGAACAGAAGAGAACAGAAGAACCTCGACATTTTTTACACAGCGCCCCCAACAGACCCAGGGGCAGGTGTCTGCGCAGATGCCCGAGTGTCCGTCTGCGCAGATGCCTGTGTGTCCGTCTGCGCAGATGCCTGTGTGTTCGTCTGCGCAGATGCCCGAGTGTCCGTCTGCGCAGATGCCCGTGTGTCCGTCACATCGGCCCTAACAGATCCATAACACCGACTGTTCGTGATGATGTTTGTGATTCGCTCCACTGGACGCTGCATCTTTTCTAAGTGATTTTAGACGAATATTGTGATTTCAAACGTGTAAATAAAAACAAATCCATCCGCAGGTGTTTTACATTTGAACTAAACCGAGCCTCGAGCCCAACCTGTGATCTCTAAACTCAGACTTGGTGGTTGTAAAAGCTGCTGTACTTTGTAGGTGGTGATGCTCCACTTCCGGACTCGCTCCAGTTTCTCACTCGCCGGACTCCTGCTGCTGCTCTGAACCACGACGGCCGCCGCACCCACGCGAGGAGGAGGAGGAGGAGTCACAGGTGAATCTGGAGGAGGAGGAGTCACAGGTGAATCTGAAACTGAACAAAACTAAACTAAATTACACAGCAAAGACACAAGATCCATTTTACTACAATAAGTTAAATGTAAATCACAGGTTCGATCGTTTACTGTATTTTTCGTACTGTAGTGTGACGTTTGTTGGTGGTTTGTGTGTTTCTGTGACTTATTCTCGGTGTGATTCTATATTAAATGTTTTTGGTGAAGTGTGGAGAGGTTCTAGTCTTGTGTGTGAGGATCTGCTGCTCCTGTTCCTCCTGCACCAATGTCACTTGGCTCTACTGCGCATGTCTCCTGCAGAAAGAGCCTCTGTCCTGTCTGGATCATGTCAGTCGATCGCACCGTTAATTTTAACAAACTTATAAAGACGAAGACTGAGAGACTGAACACAAATGAACACAAAAACAAAATCAGATTCTGCAGATTTACAAACTGCGAGTCGTGAAATCTGCAGCTGAAAACGGAAATCGAGCAGCGGAAAGAAAGTTTGGAGTGAGAGAGAAACTCGTGACCCCGGGAGGATCCGTGTGTCGTTCATTCATTTTTCAAAATAAAACCAAAAATAAGAAAACGGAAATAAAACAAATATTTTCTTCATTATTTGTCTCCAAAACCAAAATGAAAAAAAAAAACAGATAAAGATTAATTTTTTCAGTTTTTCGATTTTGTGTTTAAATGAAAAATGGAAAAAAAAAGATAACGGACTAAACCAGGACTAAACCAAGACTAAACCAAGACTAAACCAGGACTAAACCAGGACTGAGTGTCGGGACGGGCTCGGAGCTGCGCCTGCGTAGACTGTTGGGTGATCAGGACCAGACTGGGACCAGACCAGGACTAGACTGGGACTGAGATTGAGACTGGGACTGGACCAGGACTGAGGCTGCGACCAGACCAGGACCAGACCAGAACTGAGATCAGGACTGAGACCGGGACTGAGTCCGGGACCAGTCCTGGACTAGTCCCAGAATCATTATCCGTTATCCGTTTTTTTTTTTTTTTTCATTTTGGTTTTGGAGACAAATAATGAAGAAAATTGTTGTTTTCTCATTTTCTTATTTTTTATTTTATTTTGTAAAATGAATAAATGACAGACACGTGGATTGGGGAGGATGAACCATGAAACTTTCCTGAAGTCACTGGATGGATGGACAAAGTCTGGACTTCAGTGACACCGAAATCATCCTGTCGGGATTCAGAAAGACCAGAATAGAAAAGAGGTTTGGCAAAAACACACCCAGGTCGCCAAGTGGATAAATCAGTAACAGCAGAGGTGTGAAAATGTGCGTGTGGTTTTAAAGGTGCAGCTCAGGTCGTTCTGAGTCTGTGGAAGGATAATTTGATGAAAATTGTTGAATAAAAACATGGACATTAGTGTAAAATCTCGGGCTCCTGTTTGTGATTGAAACGCCCGGGACAGATTTGATTGATAAATGGACTAAAACACATTTGAAGTCGACACTTTGGGGAAGCAAATCTTTGTTTTTCCACTGAACTGATGTGGCCTTTGATTTAGAACTGAAATGATTTGTATTTGTAACAGGTTCAATTGAGTGGAAATTAAAAAGTTCTGGAGGTTTGTCACATGGACTTTGACTCTTATTTTATTTGATAGTTTATTTTTCTCTGGAGTTCACTTGTGTACGACATGTTTATATCCAGAACTTTGTTGTTTTATCCCTTCGCCCCAAAGTAAAGTGCTGCTGTCTGTTGTGTTATGTGCTCAAATTTATAACACAAAATAAAAACTTGAATTATAAAAATAAACAAAACATAAATTCTGTAATAATTCTAACCGGAAGCATCGCTCTGTTTCCCTCCGGAGGTCGAGGTCGAGTTGTTCAGAAGTGACACCGAGGATGAAGAATTGAAGTGATTTAGTGATTTGGAGTGAGATGGAGAGTTTACAGAAGCCGGGAGAGGCTCATAACAAATACAAACACGGCAACACAACAAAAAGCCACAACGGAAATGACCGCGGGACTCTATTTCTCTTCGCTTGGTCCGTCGGAAAACAGAGTCCCGTGGTCACTGCGTTTTTAGTGTGTTGTGGTGTTTTTTTTAGTGTGTTGTGGTGTTTTTTTGGTGTGTTGTGGCGTTTTTTTTAGTGTGTTGTGGTGTTTTTTGTAGTGTGTTGTGGTGTTTTTTTAGTGTGTTGTGGTGTTTTTTTAGTGTGTTGTGGCTTTTTTTTTGGTGTGTTGTGGCATTTTTTTGATGTGTTGTGGCGTTTTTTTAGTGTGTTGTGGCGTTTTTTTTGGTGTGCTGTGTCATTTTTTGACGTGTTGTGGCTTTTTTTTTGGTGTGTTGTGGCTTTTTTTTGGTGTGTTGTGGCGTTTTTTTTAGTGTGTTGTGGCTTTTTTTGGTGTGCTGTGTTGTTTTTTGACGTGTTGTGGCGTTTTTTTAGTGTGTTGTGGCTTTTTTTTTTGGTGTGCTGTGTCATTTTTTGACGTGTTGTGGCGTTTTTTTAGTGTGTTGTGGCGTTTTTTTTTGGTGTGTTGTGGCGTTTTTTTTAGTGTGTTGTGGCGTTTTTTTGGTGTGTTGTGGCGTTTTTTTTAGTGTGTTGTGGCGTGTTTTTTTTGAGTGTTGTGGCGTTTTTTTTAGTGTGTTGTGGCATTTTTTTTTGTGTGTTGTGGCGTTTTTTTAGTGTGTTGTGGCGTGTTTTTTTTTTTACGTGTTGTGGCATTTTTTTAGTGTGTTGTGGCTTTTTTTTGTGTGTTGTGGTGTTTTTTTAGTGTGTTGTGTGGCATTTTTTTTGTGTGTTGTGGCGTTTTTTTATGTGTTGTGGTGTTTTTTTAGTGTGTTGTGGTGTTTTTTTGGTGTGTTGTGGCTTTTTTTTGGTGTGTTGTGGCTTTTTCTTGTGTTGTGGCTTCCCTAAGAGTTTGTTAAACTTGTGTAAATAGATTTCCCCAAAAAGTGCAAATTTGTTTTTTTTTTCTTCATTATGCTTTTTTTGGCTGGTGTGACTTATGGTCTGAAAAATACAGTACTGGTTCTGAGACGCTTCGTTCTCGTCTAGAGTCGTTTATTTGAAGAGAACTTGTCACTAAAATGATCTCGCTGCACAGACACATCATTTCTCTACTTTAAGTCATTTTCTGAGGGATTTTGTGTTTAGATTTTATGTTTTGTCTTGTTTGCAGAGCAGGTTTTACCTGTGCTGGTGTGTGTGTGTTCTGAGCCCAGAGCGGCGCCCTCTTCAGGTGGACACTGGGGTTTCACACAGAGCGCCGACGTTTGAGGAGATTCCTACAAAAATAAATCGAATCAGACAAACTCCACACGACAGAACCGACCGAGAGCCGCACGGGTCACGTTTACGCCGAAGGAAAACTGAAACCTGCCCGAACCACAGAGAGACACAGAAATATGATTAAAATAAAAAAAAATAAAACTAAACATAAAACAATAAAATAAAATAAAATAGAAATAAAAAAACAAATGAGACAAAACAAACCCTGTGAGAACAAAACCTTTCCTGAAAAAAACAGGACTAAACCAGGACTAAACCAGGACTAAACCAGGTCTAAACCAGGACTAAACCAGGACTAAACCAGGTCTAAACCAGGACTAAACCAGGACTAAACCAGGTCTAAACCAGGACTAAACCAGGACTAAACCAGGACTAAACCAGGTCTAAACCAGGACTAAACCAGGACTAAACCAGGACTAAACCAGGACTAAACCAGACTAAACCAGGTCTAAACCAGGACTAAACCAGGACTAAACCCAGACAAAACCAGGTCTAAACCAGGACTAAACCAGGACTAAACCAGGACTAAACCAGGTCTAAACCAGGACTAAACCAGGACTAAAATAGGACTGAACCAGGACTAAACCAGGTCTAAACCAGGACTAAAACAGGACTAAACCAGGACTAAACCAGGACTAAACCAGGACTAAACCAGGACTAAAATAGGACTAAACCAGGACTAAACCAGGTCTAAACCAGGACTAAAATAGGACTAAACCAGGTCTAAACCAGGTCTAAACCAGGTCTAAACCAGGTCTAAAACAGGTCTAAAACAGGACTAAACCAGGACTAAACCAGGACTAAACCAGGTCTAAACCAGGTCTAAACCAGGACTAAACCAGGACTAAACCAGGTCTAAACCAGGTCTAAACCAGGTCTAGGTCTAAACCAGGACTAAACCAGGTCTAATCAGAGAGTTTCTGTATTTCAGTATTAGTTTTGTCAAAAGTATGGAAAGTATCAAATCCTAATCGATACTGAACGAAAATCGAAACTAGATCCTCATGTTCCTCAAAAAAGTCCCATTTTCAGGACAGAGCAGAACCTCTCCTCAGTGGGTTCAGAACCTCTCCTCAGTGGGTTCAGAACCTTCTGGACCAGGACCAGATCAGGTTTAAGAGCGCGAGGCTGTGGGTGCAGAGCGTCACCGCCCTCTGCTGGAGACTCAGTGCAGGTTCCTCTGACCTGATGAAATTAAACGGTTCTTTACTGTTTCAGGATCAGACTCGTCCAAAACACAGACACTGGGACATTTCTTGTATAAATCTGGACAAATCAGTGGTTTTGGGACGTGTGGACTCACTAAGACAGACTCATGATAAACACTCACTTATGGAGAGTTACTTCATGTGCATAAGATAGAAATCTGTGTGTATTTGTCTGTAGTTGAACATAAAATAAATCTTGTTAAACTCTGGAGTCGAGTCGAGTCGAACAGAAAATGTTTTATATATTTTATCATCAGATTATGAACGGAAAAGTTACGACATCAAGAATTATAATCACAAAAAGAAAATTTATGATTTACACTTTGTCCTGTACGAACACGAATTTACAGACGCAACAACATCACGTCACAGAACTAAACCAGGACTAAACCAGGACTAAACCAGGACTAAACCAGGACTAAACCAGGTCTAAAACCAGGTCTAAACCAGGACTAAACCAGGACTAAACCAGGACTAAACCAGGTCTAAACCAGGACTAAACCAGGACTAAACCAGGACTAAACCAGGTCTAAACCAGGACTAAACCAGGTCTAAACCAGGTCTAAACCAGGTCTAAACCAGGTCTAAACCAGGACTAAACCAGGTCTAAACCAGGACTAAACCAGGACTAAAAACTAAACCAGGACTAAACCAGGACTAAACCAGGACTAAACCAGGACTAAACCAGGACTAAACCAGGTCTAAACCAGGACTAAACCAGGACTAAACCAGGACTAAACCAGGACTAAACCAGGACTAAACCAGGTCTAAACCAGGACTAAACCAGGACTAAACCAGGACTAAACCAGGTCTAAACCAGGACTAAACCAGGTCTAAACCAGGACTAAACCAGGTCTAAACCAGGACTAAACCAGGACTAAACCAGGTCTAAACCAGGACTAAACCAGGTCTAAACCAGGACTAAACCAGGACTAAACCAGGACTAAACCAGGACTAAACCAGGACTAAACCAGGTCTAAACCAGGACTAAACCAGGTCTAAACCAGGTCTAAACCAGGACTAAACCAGGTCTAAACCAGGACTAAACCAGGACTAAACCAGGACTAAACCAGGACTAAACCAGGAACTAAACCAGGACTAAACCAGGTCTAAACCAGGACTAAACCAGGACTAAACCAGGACTAAACCAGGTCTAAACCAGGACTAAACTAAACCAGGACTAAACCAGGACTAAACCAGGTCTAAAACCAGGACTAAACCAGGACTAAAACCAGGTCTAAACCAGGTCTAAACCAGGTCTAAACCAGGACTAAACCAGGACTAAACCAGGTCTAAACCAGGACTAAACCAGAACTAAACCAGGTCTAAACCAGGACTAAACCAGGACTAAACCAGGTCTAAACCAGGACTAAACCAGGTCTAAACCACTAAACCAGGTCTAAACCAGGACTACTAAACCAGGACTAAACCAGGACTAAACCAGGTCTCTAAACCAGGACTAAACCAGGACTAAACCAGGACTAAACCAGGACTAAACCAGGACTAAACCAGGTCTAAACCAGGACTAAACCAGGTCTAAACCAGGTCTAAACCAGGACTAAACCAGGTCTAAACCAGGACTAAACCAGGACTAAACCAGGACTAAACTAAACCAGGACTAAACCAGGACTAAACCAGGTCTAAACCAGGACTAAACCAGGTCTAAACCAGGACTAAACCAGGACTAAACCAGGAACTAAACCAGGACTAAACCAGGACTAAACCAGGACTAAACCAGGACTAAACCAGGACTAAACCAGGACTAAACCAGGACTAAACCAGGTCTAAACCAGGACTAAACCAGGACTAAACCAGGACTAAACCAGGACTAAAACCAGGTCTAAACCAGGTCTAAACCAGGTCTAAACCAGGACTAAACCAGGACTAAACCAGGACTAAACCAGGACTAAACCAGGACTAAACCAGGACTAAACCAGGTCTAAACCAGGACTAAACCAGGTCTAAACCAGGTCTAAACCAGGACTAAACCAGGTCTAAACCAGGACTAAACCAGGACTAAACCAGGACTAAACCAGGTCTAAACCAGGACTAAACCAGGACTAAACCAGGACTAAACCAGGACTAAACCAGGACTAAACCAGGTCTAAACCAGGACTAAACCAGGTCTAAACCAGGTCTAAACCAGGACTAAACCAGGACTAAACCAGGTCTAAACCAGGACTAAACCAGGACTAAACCAGGACTAAACCAGGACTAAACCAGGACTAAACCAGGTCTAAACCAGGACTAAACCAGGACTAAACCAGGTCTAAACCAGGACTAAACCAGGTCTAAACCAGGACTAAACCAGGTCTAAACCAGGACTAAACCAGGACTAAAACTAAACCAGGACTAAACCAAGTCTAAACCAGGTCTAAACCAGGACTAAACCAGGACTAAACCAGGACTAAACCAGGACTAAACCAGGACTAAACCAGGACTAAACTAAACCAGGTCTAAACCAGGTCTAAACCAGGACTAAACCAGGACTAAACCAGGACTAAACCAGGTCTAAACCAGGTCTAAACCAGGTCTAAACCAGGACTAAACCAGGACTAAACCAGGTCTAAACCAGGACTAAACCAGGACTAAACCAGGACTAAACCAGGACTAAACACTAAACCAGGACTAAACCAGGTCTAAACCAGGTCTAAACCAGGACTAAACCAGGACTAAACCAGGACTAAACCAGGACTAAACCAGGACTAAACCAGGACTAAACCAGAACTAAACCAGGTCTAAACCAGGTCTAAACCAGGACTAAACCAGGACTAAACCAGGACTAAACCAGGACTAAACCAGGACTAAACCAGGACTAAACCAGGTCTAAACCAGGTCTAAACCAGGACTAAACCAGGTCTAAACCAGGACTAAACCAGGACTAAACCAGGTCTAAACCAGGACTAAAACCAGGACTAAACCAGGACTAAACCAGGACTAAACCAGGTCTAAACCAGGACTAAACCAGGACTAAACCAGGTCTAAACCAGGTCTAAACCAGGACTAAACCAGGACTAAACCAGGTCTAAACCAGGACTAAACCAGGACTAAACCAGGACTAAACCTAAACCAGGTCTAAACCAGGACTAAACCAGGTCTAAACCAGGACTAAAACCAGGACTAAACCAGGTCTAAACCAGGACTAAACCAGGACTAAACCAGGACTAAACCAGGACTAAACCAGGACTAAACCAGGTCTAAACCAGGACTAAACCAGGTCTAAACCAGGTCTAAAACCAGGACTAAACCAGGTCTAAACCAGGACTAAACCAGGTCTAAAACCAGGTCTAAACCAGGACTAAACCAGGACTAAACCAGGACTAAACCAGGACTAAACCAGGTCTAAACCAGGTCTAAACCAGGACTAAACCAGGACTAAACCAGGTCTAAACCAGACTAAACCAGGACTAAACCAGGTCTAAACCAGGTCTAAACCAGGACTAAACCAGGACTAAAACCAGGTCTAAACCAGGACTAAACCAGGTCTAAACCAGGACTAAAACCAGGACTAAACCAGGTCTAAACCAGGACTAAACCAGGACTAAACCAGGACTAAACCAGGTCTAAACCAGGACTAAACCAGGTCTAAAACCAGGTCTAAACCAGGACTAAACCAGGACTAAACCAGGACTAAACCAGGTCTAAACCAGGACTAAACCAGGTCTAAACCAGGACTAAACCAGGACTAAAACCAGGACTAAACCAGGACTAAACCAGGTCTAAACCAGGACTAAACTAGGACTAAACCACTAAACCAGGACTAAACCAGGACTAAACCAGGTCTAAACCAGGACTAAACCAGGACTAAACCAAACCAGGTCTAAACCAGGACTAAACCAGGACTAAACCAGGTCTAAACCAGGACTAAACCAGGACTAAACCAGGACTAAACCAGGACTAAAACAGGACTAAACCAGGTCTAAACCAGGACTAAACCAGGACTAAACCAGGTCTAAACCAGAACTAAACCAGGACTAAACCAGGACTAAACCAGGACTAAACCAGGACTAAACCAGGTCTAAACCAGGACTAAACCAGGACTAAACCAGGTCTAAACCAGGACTAAACCAGGTCTAAACCAGGACTAAACCAGGTCTAAACCAGGACTAAACCAGGACTAAACCAGGTCTAAACCAGGTCTAAACCAGGACTAAACCAGGTCTAAACCAGGTCTAAACCAGGTCTAAACCAGGTCTAAACCAGGTCTAAAACCAGGTCTAAACCAGGACTAAACCAGGTCTAAACCAGGTCTAAACCAGGACTAAACCAGGACTAAACCAGGTCTAAACCAGGACTAAACCACGACTAAACCACGACTAAACCAGGTCTAAACCAGGTCTAAACCAGGACTAAACCAGGTCTAAACCAGGTCTAAACCAGGACTAAACCAGGTCTAAACCAGGTCTAAACCAGGTCTAAACCAGGTCTAAACCAGGTCTAAAACCAGGACTAAACCAGGACTAAACCAGGACTAAACCAGGACTAAACCAGGTCTAAACTAAACCAGGTCTAAACCAGGTCTAAACCAGGACTAAACCAGGTCTAAACCAGGTCTAAACCAGGTCTAAAACCAGGTCTAAACCAGGTCTAAACCAGGTCTAAACCAGGACTAAACCAGTCTAAACCAGGTCTAAACCAGGTCTAAACCAGGTCTAAACCAGGACTAAACCAGGACTTTCTTTCCCAAATATACACAGATTTCTTTCCTACACACATGAATATTTCTGAAATCTTTTGACTCCAGAGTCACTCAAACATGTGAATGAAAGAAACACAAGTCCAGCTCCGTTTGTGAGGAGGAACATCAGAACATTAGAACATCAGAACATTAGAACATCAGAACATCAGAACATTAGAACATCAGAAACATTAGAACATCAGAACATTAGAACATCAGAACATTAGAACATCAGAACATCAGAACAAGACTTAAAACTCACAGGGGTAAATTTGTGAGATAAAACGACCTTCAAAATGTTTGGATTATCCCCCTCAACATGATCCTGCGTTTTTTATTTCTTCTTTCTCTCTTACCGTGTGAGTTGGGGTGTCTCCTGTGTCTCCAGTGGACGTGGGGGTGTCTCCTGTGTCTCCTGTGGACGTGGGGGTGTCTCCTGTGTCTCCTGTGGACGTGGGGGTGTCTCCTGTGGACGTGGGGGTGTCTCCTGTGTCTCAGTGGACGTGGGGTGTCTCCTGTGTCTCCCGTGGACGTGGGGGTGTCTCCTGTGTCTCCTGTGGACGTGGGGGTGTCTCCTGTGTCTCCTGTGGACGTGGGGGTGTCTCCTGTGGACGTGGGGGGGCTGGCGTCCTCTGCTCCCTCCATTCTTCTCCGCGTCCTGTGAGTTTCACTACAAACACAAAACAAAACAGAAACATGTCAGAGAACGACACGATACGACACGATACGACACGATACGACACGATACGACACGATACGATACGATACGACACGACACGACACGACACGATACGACACGATACGACACGACACGACACGACACGACACGACACGATACGACCGATACGACACGATACGACACGACACGACACGACACGATACGATACGACACGACACGACACGACACGACACGACACGATACGACACGATACGACACGATACGACACGACACGACACGACACGACACGACACGATACGACACGACACGACACACGACACGACGACACGATACGATACGATACGACACGATACGATACGACACGATACGACACGATACGACACGATACGACACGACGATACGACACGATACGACACGATACGACACGATACGACACGAACGACACGACACGACACGACACGACACGACACGATACGACACGATACGACACGACACGACACGATACGACACGATACGACGACACGACACGACACGACACGACACGACACGATACGACACACACGATACGACACGATACGACACGACACGATAACGACACGACACGACACGACACGACACACGACACGATACGACACGATACGACACGACACGATACGACACGATACGACACGATACGACACGACACGACACGACACGACACGATACGACACGACACGACACGACACGACACGATACGACACGACGACACGATACGACACGATACGACACGATACGACACGATACGACACGACACGATACGACGACACGAACGACACGATACGACACGATACGACACGACACACGACACGATACGACACGATACGACACGATACGACACGACACGATACGACACGATACGACACGACACGACACGATACGACACGATACGACACGATACGACACGATACGACACGACACGACACGATACGACACGATCACACGACACGATACGACACGACTACGACACGACACGACGACACGATACGACACGATACGACACGATACGACACGATACGAACACGACACGATACGACACGATACGAACGATACGACACGACACGATACGACACGATACGACACGATACGACACGATACGACACGATACGACACGACACGACACGACACGACACGACACATACGACACGACACGACACGACGATACGACACGATACACGACGATACGACACGATACGACACGACACGATACGACGACGATACGATACACGACACGACACGATACGACACGACACGATACGCGATACGATACGACACACGACACGATACGACACGATACGACACGATACGACACGATACGACACGATACGACACGACACGACACGACACGATACGACACGACACGACGACGACACGACACGACGACGATACGACACGATACGACACGATACGACACGACACGACACGACACGATACGACACGATACGACACGACACGACACGACACGACACGATACGACACGATACGACACGACACGATACGACACGATACGACACGACACGATACGACACGACACGACACGACACGATACGACACGATACGACACGATACGACACGATACGATATACGACACGATACGACACGACACGACACGACGATACGACACGATACGACACGATACACGACACGACACGACGATACGACACGATACGACACGATACGACACGATACACGACATACGATACGACACGACACGACACGACACGACACGATACGACGCGACACGACGCGATACGACGCGATACGACACGACACGACACGATACGACACGACACGATACGACACGATACGACACGACGACGATACGACACGATACGACACGATACGATACGACACGACACGCGACACGACACGACACGATACGACACGATACGACACGATACGACACACGACACGATACGACACGATACGACACGATACGACACGACACACGACACGATACGACACGATACGACACGATACGACACGACACGATACGACACGATACGACACGACACGACACACGACACGATACGACACGACACGATACGACACGATACGACACGACACGACACGATACGACACGATACGACACGATACGACACGATACGACACGACACACGACACGACACGACACGAACACGACACGATTACGACACGATACGACACGATACGACACGACACGACACGATACGACACGACGACGATACGACACGACACGAACGACGACACGACACGACACGACACGATACGACACGATACGACACGATACGACACGATACGACACGATACGACGACACGACACGACACGATACGACACGATACGACGACACGACACGACACGACACGACACGACGATACGACACGACACGATACGACACGATACGACACGACACGACGATACGACACGATACGACACGACACGATACGACACGATACGACACGATACGATACGACACGATACGACACGACACGATACGACACGATACGACACGATACGACACGATACGACACGATACGACACGATACGACACGACGATACGACACGATACGACACGACACGACACGATACGACACGATACGAACACGATACGACACGACACGACACGATACGACACGATACGACACGATACGACACGATACGACACGACACGATACGACACGATACGACACGACACGATACGATACGACACGACACGACACGATACGACACGATACGACACGATACGACACGATACGACACGATACGACACGATACGACGACGACACGACGACACGATACGACACGATACGATACGACACGATACGACGACACGATACGACACGACACGATACGACACGACACGATACACGACACGATACGACACACGACACGACACGACACGATACGACCTCCATACAGAAGAGTTTTGATTTTACACGATATATTTCAAATCGATTCGATGTGGGTCGTTGTTTTTTCTTCACGTGTGTCGCGCCTCCACAGTGGCTCTTTGACGCCCCCCAGAGGAAACACGACTCACCTGCTGAAAACCACTGATCTAAAGTTCTGCTGAACATCTCAAACTCTCAGCCAGTGTTTGGTTCCCTTCAGATCCTCGTTCATTTCACTCAACGCAGATCAGACTTTCTGTTGTCCCACGAGTGAAAACACAAACTGGAAAACACTCGTTTAAATATAAATCTCTGTTTGATTTTAAAGATCTTCCCTCATCGATTCCCGGTTTTTATTCTGTCCCTTCGATTAAAAATGGTGCAGTTTGGACAGAACCTGTGGACTTTTAAAACGTTATGTGACTTTATTTGAACTCTGTCTTAGTTTTTGTTCAAAATTGATTTATTCTGTGTTTAATAGTGAAGTGAGGACCCCATCGAAAACGAGACGGCGAGACATCTCAAGGGGCTTATCCTCCAAACAAATAAATTCAAATTCAAACAGTGAAGTGTGCGTGTGGTGTTGATTTAGTTTCGTTTTTTTCTATATTTTTATTTTGAGTTTGTGTATCCTCCTGTATCGATCTTCTGTATCGATCTTCTGTATCGATCTTCTGTTGTTGCTCGAAAACGAGACACATACAGAATAAATCTGTGAATGAAACAAAACACAACTGTCCTCTCCTCACTCTCAAAAACAAACATCTCTGGTCTGATCTCTGGAGTCAAACAGGAGGCAGAAGGACGTGCAGAAGAACCTGCAGAAGAATGTGTAGAAGAACGTGTAGAAGAACCTGCAGAAGGACGTGTAGAAGGACGTGTAGAAGAACGTGCAGAAGAACGTGTAGAAGAACCTGCAGAAGAACGTGTAGAAGGACGTGTAGAAGAATGTGCAGAAGATCCTGCAGAAGAACGTGTAGAAGAACCTGCAGAAGGACGTGTAGAAGGAGTAGACGTGTAGAAGGACGTGTAGAAGAACGTGTAGAAGAACCTGCAGAAGAACCTGCAGAAGAACGTGTAGAAGGACGTGTAGAAGGACGTGTAGAAGAACGTGCAGAAGAACGTGCAGAAGAACGTGCAGAAGAACGTGCAGAAGAACGTGTAGAAGGACGTGCAGAAGGACGTGTAGAAGGACGTGTAGAAGAACCTACAGAAGAACGTGTAGAAGAACCTGTAGAAGAACGTGCAGAAGAACGTGTAGAAGAACGTGTAGAAGAACGTGTAGAAGATCCTGTAGAAGAACATGTAGAAGGACGTGTAGAAGAACGTGTAGAAGGACGTGCAAGAAGGACGTGTAGAAGGACGTGTAGAAGGACGTGTAGAAGAACCTGCAGAAGAACGTGTAGAAGATCCTGTAGAAGAACGTGCAGAAGAACGTGTAGAAGAACGTGTAGAAGAACGTGTAGAAGACGTGTAGAAGGACGTGTAGAAGAACGTGTAGAAGGACGTGCAGAAGGACGTGTAGAAGGACGTGCAGAAGGACGTGTAGAAGGACGTGTAGAAGAACGTGTAGAAGGACGTGTAGAAGGACGTGTAGAAGGACGTGTAGAAGGACGTGTAGAAGGACGTGTAGAAGAACGTGTAGAAGGACGTGCAGAAGGACGTGTAGAAGGACGTGCAGAAGGACGTGTAGAAGGACGTGTAGAAGAACGTGTAGAAGGACGTGCAGAAGGACGTGTAGAAGGACGTGTAGAAGGACGTGTAGAAGGACGTGTAGAAGAACGTGTAAAAGGAGGTGCTCAGACCTCACATCTCCACGTTCCTCCAGGCTCGTCTCACGTTTGTGTTGAGGAAAACGGCGTTAAAACTCGGCCGAGGAATGCGACAGTCACGCGTCTGGACTTGGATCTTCTTCACTGTTCGTCAGATAAGTGAGACTGAAGCACTTTGACCTGAGGCGCGGCCGAGTTTCACAAGACCAGACGGAAATGACGCAACCGAGCGTGTCCCAACATCTGCAGCAAACGTCTCCTCAGAGGTCAAAGAACACAACGGAAACACAACGGATCATCTTTGCTCCGTCATCCTGGCACCTCCTCCATAAACCTGAGATTTTATTATTTTCTGTTTTATTTGGATTTGTACGTTTACAAAAAATACCAAATCCTCTGCAGGTTTCCTTGAACCTTGGAGAAACGCCGAGTCTAATGTGTTAAAAAATAAAACTAATCAAGAAGACGACGTGAGCTCTGACAATCTGTGTGTCGTTTGTTTTTCAAAATAAAACCAAAAATAAGAAAATGAAAAAAACAAAACAATTTTCTTCATTATTTGTCTCCAAAACCAAAATGGAAAAAAAACTTAAAAATTATTAGTTTTTTTCAGTTTTTGATTTTGTGTTTAAATGAAAAATGAAAAAGAAGGATAAAAGACTAAACCAGGACTAAACCAGGACTGAACCAGGACTGAACCAGGACTAAACCAGGACTAAACCAGGACTGAACCAGGTCTAAACCCGGACTGAACCGGGACTGAACCAGGACTAAACCAGGACTGAACCCGGACTGAACCGGACTAAACCCGGACTGAACCGGGACTGAACCAGGACTAAACCAGGACTGAACCGGGACTAAACCAGGACTAAACCAGGACTAAACCAGGACTAAACCAGGATTAAACCAGGTCTAAACCCGGACTAAACCAGGACTAAACCAGGACTAAACCGGGACTGAACCAGGACTGAACCGGGACTAAACCAGGACTAAACCAGGACTAAACCAGGATCTAAACCAGGTCTAAACCAGGACTAAACCGGGACTGAACCGGGACAGAACCAGGTCTAAACCAGTCTAAACCAGGATTAAACCCGGACTAAACCAGGTCTAAACCCGGACTGAACCGGGACTAAACCAGGACTAAACCAGGACTAAACCAGGTCTAAACCAGGATTAAACCAGGTCTAAACCAGGACTAAACCAGGACTAAACCAGGACTAAACCAGGACTAAACCAGGACTAAACCAGGACTAAACCAGGATTAAACCAGGTCTAAACCAGGACTAAACCAGGACTGAACCGGGACTGAACCAGGACTGAACCAGGACTAAACCAGGACTAAACCAGGACTAAACCAGGATTAAACCAGGTCTAAACCAGGACTAAACCGGGACTGAACCTGGACAGAACCAGGTCTAAACCAGATCTAAACCAGGATTAAACCCGGACTAAACCAGGTCTAAACCCGGACTGAACCAGGACTGAACCGGGACTAAACCAGGACTAAACCAGGTCTAAACCAGGTCTAAACCAGGACTAAACCAGGTCTAAACCAGGTCTAAAACCGGGACTAAACCGGGACCAAACCGGGACTGAACCGGGGACTAAACCAGGTCTAAAACCAGGTCTAAAACTCAGGTCTAAACCAGGTCTAAACCAGGACTAAACCAGGTCTAAACCAGGATTAAACCGGGACTAAACCGGGACTAAACCAGGTCTAAACCAGGACTAAACCAGGACTAAACTGGGTCTAAACCAGGACTGAACCAGGACTAAACCAGGTCTGAAATGGGACTGAACCAGAACTAAACCAGGACTAAACTGGGTCTTAACCGGGGTTAAACCAGGTCTGAACCAGGACTGAACCAGGACTGAATGACATAAAGAAACACGAGCGACGACTTTAGAAAAACTGTCTGATTTGGATAAATTCTCTGTGAGGATGAGAGAATTTTAAGTCCTTAAAAACATTTCCAACGTTGGACAAGAGTCGGGTTTGTGGAGATGCGACGTTTTTCTGTTTTTCGGAAGCAAAAAACACAAAAAACAAATGCAAAAAAACTCAACATTTCTGGGCTAAAAAGTGACATGTTGGGAGTTTAAATTAGACGTACAGAGATTTTTTTGTCTAAATCCGTGTGACCTGTGGACGGTTTTGTTCTAATCGTCACATTTTAAATCTTATTGATCCAAAACGACGTCATAAACAAACACGAGCCACGACTTCAGCGTTAGAAAAAGAGATTTAATTAAAGCCGTTCTGTGGGACATTCCAGACAAAGCGACGGCATCAGCACCAGGAAAGTTACACAGTGTGACTTTAATCGTCTACATCACAGGTGTCAAACACACGGCCCGGGGGCCAGATCCGGCCCTCCAAGACCTTTAATCTTGGACCCTCGGCTGATTTTCTACTAAAATATTTTAATGATATTTTCTATTAAAATGGTGTTAATTTTGTGTGGTGTTTATCACAGCAGCGTCTCCAGCGTCTCTGTACGTGGCCCCTCCCACCAGAGCAGCACAAATGAAGACTTGTCTCTTTCCAAACGCTCTTAAAGGACGATCGTTTTGACTGTTGACCGTGACACCCTCATCAGAAAAATGTCCAACATGAGAAAAGTGGAGCCGAGTGCAGGATTTTACAACAAAAATGGACTTATTCCTGTTTACAGACAAGTTCATGTTCAAACTTTGTGTTGAAATTGTATTTTTCTTAAAGTTTCAGGTTGTTCATAATATTATAATATTTTGTAAAAGAAAGAGTTCATCAATTAAAAAAGATTTCTGTAATAGATTTGTGTTTCTCTGCACAAATATTTGAACTTATTGTTATTTTTGGGGTTTTTATGACATGAGTTTTCTGATCCGGGACACGACCCCCAGAACAAAATGACTTTGACTCTCCTGCTCTGCATGAAATAAACGAAACAGAGTGTGTGTCTCTCACGGTTAAAACAAACCACAGAAGTCGATACTTCCACTTTTCACACACAGCTTCTCCTCACGAGAGAAAAAAAGGACGTGACACAAACGAACAAAAAACCAAAACAAAAAACAGAAACATACTGAGAATTTACTGAGATATTCAATAAATGACTGAACTAAACACACACACAAACACACAGACACATACACACACACACACACACACACACACACACACACACACACACACACACACACACACACACACACACACAACACGCACACACACACACACACACACATACACACACACACACACAGACACACACACACATACACACACACACACACAGACACACACACACACACACACAAACACAGAACACACACACACACACACACACACACAGCACACACACACACACACACACACACAACACACACAAACACACACACACACACACACAGACACACATACACACACACACACACACACACACACACACACACACACACACACACAGACACACACACACACAACACACACAGACACACACAGACACACACACACACACACACACACATACACACACACACACACACAGACACATACACACACACACACACAGAGACACACAACACACACACACACACACACAAAAACACAGAAACACACAAACACACACACACACAAACACACAAAAACACAGAGACACAAACACCTGGAGTTGTGTTTGTTTCAGTCACATGTTTGAGTAACTCTTCATTCTCAGTCTGTTCTACATGTGTGTGTGTGTGTGTGTGTGTGTGTGTGTGTGTGTGTGTGTGTGTGTGTGTGTTTGTGTGTGTGTGCAGTTTAAAAACACACAGGAGCACTTCCTGCATCACCAGGTGACATCATAAGGTGGAACAGAGTGTTTTCAGTTTAACTTTTAAGTCAGAGTGAAGAGAAAGTTTGTTCCAGACTCAAGAGTTTCACTTCACAAACAGAAACACGAGACTAAAGTCAAATAAACTAAACCCGAGCAGAAGCTGAAACAGAATCACCAAACCTCAGCTCAAACTTCAGCTCAAACTTCAGCTCAAACTTCAGCTCAAACTTCAGCTCAAACTTCAGCTCAAAACTTCAGCTCAAAAACTCAGCTCAGCTCAAACTTCAGCTCAAACTTCAGCTCAAACTTCAGCTCAAACTTCAGCTCAAACTTCAGCTCAAACTTCAGCTCAAACTTCAGCTCAAACTTCAGCTCAAACTTCAGCTCAAACTTCAGCTCAAACTTCAGCTCAAACTTCAGCTCAAACTTCAGCTCAAACTTCAGCTCAAACTTCAGCTCAAACTTCAGATCAAACTTCAGCAAACTTCATCAAACTTCAGATCAAACTTCAGCTCAAACTTCAGCTCAAACTTCAGCTCAAACTTCAGATCAAACTTCAGATCAAACTTCAGCTCAAACTTCAGCTTCTCTCTGACTTTTGTCTCTAACCCTGGAACATAAAGTACAGATCCTCACCGGAGCGAACAGGAGCGAGTCTCTCATGTCCCGCACCGAACTGAAAAACTCCAACACAGAAGCGCAGAAACACCGAGACTCAGAAACACCGAGACTCAGAAACACCGAGACTCAGAAACACCGAGACTCAGAAACACCGAGACTCAGAAACACCGAGACTCAGAAACACCGAGGCTGAAACTCAACGTCAGGAAAAGCCTGAAACACCCGGAAATGTTTCGGAATGGCTTTAGGCGGGGCGCGCTCGGTTTGCGCACCGCTGTGCGCCGCGCGGGCGGAGCCAGAAAAACACAACACCGAACACAAACCAAGAGGAACATCCCGGTGTCAGAGACTGATGTACTGATGTACTGATGTACTGATGTACTGATGTACTGTGTCGGGAGTAACAGATTACATGTACCAGAGTAATCAGAGTACAAATGATGAGTAACTGTATTCAGTTACAGTTACTGTTTCAGTGAGTGGTAATTGGATTACAGTTACTTTGTTCAAATAAATGGATTACACAGAGGGATTTTACTGTTTTTACATTATTTTTATTTACTTTTTTTTTTTTTTTCAATAATTCCACTCATTGCCAGAAACTAAACCAGGACTAAACCAGGACTAAACCAGGACTAAACCAGGACTAAACCAGGACTAAACCAGGACTAAATCCTGCTGTGTGGACGTGTTTCTTCGTTTTCTATCAATAATATTTTTAATTTGGTTCAGTAAAGTTTGGACTTTTTATTTTCTTTTATCAGACAAAACTTCTTATGTGAAGATTTCCTCGTCTTTGTTTCTCTACAGCAAATCAAGTAATCCAAAGTAATCAGATTACATTACTCACTTTAAGTAATTTAATGGATTCCGTTACAAACTACATTTTGGTGTGTGTAATCTGTAATCTGTAGGGGATTACATTTTAAAAGTAAACTTCACAACACTGACCTTTTACTTCTTTTAACCTTTCAATCATTTAAGACAATCTGATCAATAATTACTATTTATCAACAACAAATCAAACCTGAACCTTGCTGTTAATCTCTACTACGACGGAGTACAAGTACGACGGAGTACAAGTACGACGGAGTACAAGTACGACGGAGTACAAGTAGGACGGAGTACAAGTAGGACGGAGTACAAGTACGACGGAGTACAAGTAGGACGGAGTACAAGTAGGACGGAGTACAAGTACGACGGAGTACAAGTAGGACGGAGTACAAGTAGGACGGAGTACAAGTACGACGGAGTACAAGTACACAAGGGTCAGATTAAAAAATAAATAAAATTATGCTGTGACGAATAAAGTCGTAACATTTCAACATTAAAGTCGTATTTTTACGAGAATAAAGTCGTAATAAAATCAAAGTCAAAGTGAAAAATGCGGCAGAAGAAAAACCTTGTTTTTCAATATAAAACCAAAAATAAGAAAACGAACAACAATTTTCTTCATTATTTACGCCTCTGGACTGAACCAGGCCTAAACCAGGACTAAACCAGGACTAAACCAGGACTAAACCAGGATTAAACCAGGACTAAACGAGGTCCGGGACCAGACCAGGACTGAAAACGGTTTAGTCCTGGTTTAGTCCTGATTCAGTCGAATGAACAAATGATACACAGATTCTTCTCTTTTACAAAATGCTCCAAATTCTCCACGAGCCGATATTCTCCTAATATTAACACTTTATTTTAACTACGACTTTATTGTCATAAAATTGAGGACTTTAATGTTGAAATGTTGTGACTTTATTGTCATAAAATGAGGACTTTAATGTTGAAATGTTGTGACTTTATTGTCATAAAATGAGGACTTTAATGTTGAAATGTTGTGACTTTATTGTCATAAAATGAGGACTTTAATGTTGAAATGTTGTGACTTTATTGTCATAAAATGAGGACTTTAATGTTTGAAATGTTGTGACTTTATTGTCATAAAATGAGGACTTTAATGTTGAAATGTTGTGACTTTATTGTCATAGCGGCAGCATGTTTAGTTGATTTGAGTCTTATAGTCCGTCTTAAAAAAAACACGTCTAAAATAAAAGCAAAGCAGCTTTAGTCCAGGCAGGAGGTAAAATGATAAAATATTTTATTTTATAATTCCAAATGAGTTTAAATGGTCCGGTCCGAGTCGACCAAAGAGCCGTCTGTGGCCCTGGAGCTGGACGAGGTCCAGGTCTGGTCTAGATTCTGGCTCCAAACTGTCCCCTGTGACCATCACTATTGTGAGGTTCATTTGAGCGTCGCTGAACGTTGTGGACGTCACACTCACTGAGGACACTTGTTTATACAGTTTGTGTTAATAACACTGTGAAATATGATCGTCACAACTGCACGTTTATATTTCATTAAAGTGTTGATAGGGCGGAGCTAAAACTAACTCTTACAAAACTCACTTTTAGGCGCCTCGATGCACACTGCACATTTCTCTGATCTGGCCAAGATTTTAAAACTTACTTCAGGTTCTTGATCTTGTTTTTAGATTTATGATCGACTCACTGGTTCTGAGCTGTTTCCTTCTCGTCTAGAGTCGTTTATTTGAAGAGAACTTGTCCAGTAAAATGATCTCGCTGCAGGGACACATCATTTCAACACTGTTAAGTCATTTTCTGATCGGTTTAAGTGTTTAGATGTCACAGTAGAAGTTGCACTCAGGATGTTGTGAAGTTGTGATGGTGCAGGTTTTGTGAGGACCTCAGCTTTGTGCTTTTACAAACTCTACGTCCACATCAGGTTCTTTCAGCTTTTTCAAACACTTACACCAGGTCTGCAGTTTGAGTTCACTTCCACTGACGCAAAGAACAAAACTGAAACACAAAAACAAATCACACGATTCAAATGAAGGAAATACATGAAGATGTTTACAAAAATAATACAAAATATGACAAAGATTTATCAAAGAACAAACATTTGAACAGTTCTCCAATCAGCTGCTTCTAAAAATGACAAACCAGGACAAATCGATGCTCAGGCCACAAAGTCCAAACAAACAAACACACAGCTTCAGTTTGGGAGTCATGTTCGTCCGCACGCTGCTCTGTGAGACTTTTATCTCATTAAAACACGATTCAAACATGATTCAAACTCGGTCTGATGCTGTTTTTGTCTGTTTTTCAGTCGTGTTCGCTCTTTTCTTCAGCGTGGAGCAGCTCTGGGCCTCAGCTCACGGTGAGTCTCACACATTACATTAGTGTAAATGTGTTTTAGTGGATTAAAAACGGTAGGAGCTGTTCCTTTCCCAGAACGACTCAAACTCCTACCAGGACTTTTTAAGTAATAACATTTTATACTTACAAACAAAATAAACCAGTAAAACGGTTTAATACAGACACATTTTAACCCCCGGGCTCGGCTCTGTGTCTGTTTGTGTTGCTCTTGATCTAAACTCTGACTCTGTGACTCTGTGTTGTATTTTTCATCTGTTAAAAATGTCAGAGCTCCACAGTCTCATGGTCCGACTTGGATGTTTGTCTTTTTTTTTTTTTTTTGTTAAAAAGCTTTAAGTGACCAAAGTTTCTACGTGTTTGGCTCTTTGTTGTGTCTGTGATGAAGTTTCAGTCGTTTCCAAATCTCCAGGACGCTCTGGTTCCTCATGAACAGAAACGTGAGAGTCCTGGTTTCTCTGTCAACACCACGAGAAGGAAATTTAAATATTCTGGGATTATTTGACCTTTTAGAAACACATTTGCTTTTGTAAGTAAAACTCATTTGGTTGGTAGTTAAAGTGTGAAAGAGCCGTCAGTGTAAATGCTTCTGTTCCTTTTGTTTGCTGATCTCGTCAGGAAGTGATCAAGGCAAATCAGATCAATCAGTTGACCTTCAGACCTCTCTGTCTCCTGTGACCAGATCACACTTGTGTTGTTTTAAAGGTCGTACGGAGGATTATTATTTTTTGTTTCAAATTGTCAATGAAAACTTAAAATACCGTTACAGAGACGCAGCAGCCTTGTAATTATGACGACCAAAAGAAAAAAGAATGAAAAGTCTATCAACTGTGGACGTGTTGAGGCCAGATAAACATCGGCCAATAGAAAACAAGGCTGCCTCATTTTTCTATTGGCTGTTAGATTGTCGATCAAACTCCTTACATTTCTAGTGTAACTGACTCGTCGGCGTGTGGGAGATTATGTGGTTTATGCGACGGTTCTTAGAGGCTTTTTTAAACTTTTACTTCCTCGCATTTCGCACAAAATTTGTTGAGACGACGGACGAGAATCCACGACCAGTTCGCCGCAAAAGAAAGTCGGTTTTTGAGGTCGATGAAAGAAGATGAGAAGGAGAAAAGGAACAAAGCCAAAGTGAGGTGAATCTTGGAGATTCCTTCCAGCGATGGCGCGACTGAAGCAGACGAAGAGTCTAAAAAGTGACGTGTCAGTCGATAAATTATTTCTAGACATGAAACTTCAACAGTGATTCTGAACAAACGTGACTCTAGAGTAAAGAGGCGGGAGGAGGAGGAGGTGTTTCTACTGAGGAGCTGTGGAGGAGGAAGGTGGTGTCACACATGCACCACATTTGAAAAAGGACGGTCGCTGTATTTCTCTTCCCTTAAAAAATCCTCTTTACAGCCTTTAACTGCACATGTGACGTTCTGCTCAGGAGGCCAACAGGAGCACGTCAGGTCACAGCACGAGTCGTCACCTTCTCACTTTGAAACGTGTCCTCTGGTCGTCTCAGCTTTTATAAACCTGGTGCTTGGATCGTTCGGGCTCTGACGTGGAGGAGACTTGCTGCTGCTTCTTCTGTTGGACCGATTTCTTACAAGAAATAAACTCTGTGTCTTTGCTTCAACATTCATCAGTGTCAACGAAAGGAGTGTTTTTCCACAACAACCACAACCACAATCTGTCAGAACCGGGACAAGACTCAGAACCGGGACAAGACTCAGAACCAGGACAAGACTCAAGACTCAGACTCGGGATAAGACTCAGAACCGGGATAAGACTCAGAACCGGGACAAGACTCAGAACCGGGATAAGACTCAGAACTGGGATAAGACTCAGACAAGACTCAGAACCGGGACAAGACTCAGAACCGGGATAAGACTCAGAACCGGGACAAGACTCAGAACCGGGATAAGACTCAGAACCGGGACAAGACTCAGAACCGGGACAAGACTCAGAACCGGGACAAGACTCAGAACCGGGACAAGACTCAGTATCTGGACAAGACTCAGAACCGGGACAAGACTCAGATCCGGGACAAGACTCAGAACCGGATAAGACTCAGAACCGGGATAAGACTCGTAAACCGTGAGACTCGAGCTCAGTGAGTTTGACATCACCTCGCTGTAGAACCTGAACTCCACCAAAGCCTCACCGTGACCCGGTCCCACGGTCTGTGTCCTGGTTCTGGTCTGGTTACTGGTGGAACGTAACAAAGTAAAAGTATGACTTCCGGTGAGGCACGAGGCAAGATGGCGGCAGCGCGCTGAGCTCCGAGCGAACCCGTACTGACCCGTATGGATCCAACAGTTCACATTTTGGACGATGACTCAAAAATATCTCTCCAGAATAAGACACGCAAAGTTTGTCTGGCAGGTCTCACAGCAGCGAAGAAGATTATTGCCCAAAAACGGAACAGTAATGACGTGTCATTTACTCATTGGCTTCATTGTTTTATGGACATTGCTCACATGGAACTATTTTCAGCACAGATTAACAATGCAGCACTGAACACAACTGAATTATGGACTCAACTAATAAGAAAACTGGAAACAATTATGTCAGAATGATACTGAACTCACTCTGTTAATATAAGATATATTTGTGTTATTACAGAGCTGGTTGGTGGCAAGGGAATGGGGGGGTGGTTGGGGAGGAAGAGAAATGGAAGGGAGGGTGGAGGAAGTCAAGGAGAGAGAGGGAGGAAAGGGTGGAGAGGAGGAGAGGGAAGGAAAGGGAAGGGAAGGGAGGGGGAAGTTGGCTTAATGGAAAATAAGAAAAAAACACCTGATATGCACAATGGAATGTATCTGTTGTAATATTCTTAATAAAAAATGAATGATAAAAAAAAAACAAAGGGGGGGGGGGTGGTCCTCTGTGTGGACATGTTTGGGCTCAGAACCGTCCCGGCTGTTGGTGGTGATTCAGTTTTTCCAAATGAACAAAACTCATGAAATACATTTACTTTTTACTTTAAGTACATTTTTTCATGTGATTACTTTTACTTCAGTATTTTTTGCTCCAGTGTGTTGGACTGTCCCTCTTCTGTTTGTTTTTACAGTGATAACAGAGTTTAGTCAGAAGGGGGGGTAACTACATTTGAGTCTTTAAAATAAACCTTATTGTGACCAGACCAGAGGGGGCGCTGTAACACCATTTAACAACAACAACAACAACAACAACACGTGGCTAAACCAGGACGAGATTTACCCCACAACACAAGACGAGCACGTTTCAAACTCTGAATTTATTAATAAAAAAGAATCATCCGTGTGTGTGTGTTTGGATGTGAGAGTTCGGGCTGAGGCAGAGCAGCTTCACAGTTCTCATCAGAACCACTGCGGGAAAAGTTCAGATGGTGTTTGTGTCCGTGAAGGAACCACAAACCCAGACGACAGAAAAGCCCGGAGCAGCTGAAGTGTTTGTGTTTAAATCTGTTGGTGTTTTTGTCCAATCAGAACCTCCCCCCCCAGACGCTCACACACATGAAATAAAAAACATTTCAACAGTTTAACACCAAACAACAAGAAAACATTATTATTATTTACATGGAAACTACAAGGACAAGATTTAAATTCAGAAATATTTAGTTTAGACTTAAGTGTGTGTGTGTGTGTGTGTGTGTGTGTGTGTGTGCAGATGTCCAGAGTCCAGCAGGGGGCAGAGTGGTGCAGCTGCGGTTGGAGGTGGACGCTCCAGAACCCAGGAACCTGTCGTTGGGGGCACTGTGCTGATCACCTGCTCCACAGACCAGGACCAAGACCAGGACCAGGACCAGTCCAGGACCAGACTCCGACTGGTCCACACCACACTCGGGTCCATTCAGGTGACCTGTGTGTGTGTGTGTCTGTGT